AACTGCAGCTGACATTATATGCACGTCCACAGAGTATTTCCATCTCTACCTGCTATTCTCCTGCACTAAGATGATGAGTTTATCCACTTCTTAAATTCATCCCTGGACCCACCTTGGGGCAAGAGGTGAGAGAATTTACGTGGTTTCCCGAGATCGCTTCCAGCCCTCTTGTCTGTGTTTCTGGCATGCCAGCTCTTTGCATCTTTAAATAGGGAACGAAAACCCTGAAAAATTTAAATACAATTACACAGCAATCTCATCCTGCCTTTGAGGCTGGCATGAATGGCTGCAACATACGGACGTAAAAGATAACCTCTCATGTTTAAGAGGTCCCATCCTGGGCTAATCCTCCTACTGTTGCAGCTGGCAGGGTGTAGCAATTTTAGTTTTTACGCAGTTAGTGCAGATACACTTGATTTTCTTACTACGTGAAAGGGGCAGCAGGTCCACCACTGTGCTGACTAGAAGTTTCCCACTGGAGTTCTTTAATTTCAGCCTCCTGCAATGGAAAATTGGTTTTCTTCCAAATTAATATTTTCAGGAGAAAAATGTCCACTGCTGGAAAACACTGATTTTTCCCTCAAAGTGGGGAACAAGCACAGGGTGGATTTCTATTTTAGAAGCGTAGTCACTGCAGAATAGGAAGAAGCAATAGAATTTTACTTTTTTTTTTCTAAAAATGTAGTTTGTTTTTTTTTTTAATAGGGTTTCATCCTTTATCCTGCTGTGGATAGAAGGGGGAAGCAGGTGTTTTTCAGCTGGCTGCGTACCCTAGAACATAGCTCCCAGCCACCTGAGAAACGCGCGTACAAATGCAAAGCAGTTGGGCAAAATGAAAAACACGAGCAGAATTGCAAATGTCTGGCAGGACCGTGAGGGGAAGGAATCCTGCAGGATCTCTCCTCGGAGGAGCAGCTCTCCTTGCAGATCTACTCCTGCCGAGATTGTTTGGGGTGAAGGGGATTTTTTGGATCTCTGGTTTTAATCCATTTCTTATGTCTCCTCGCTTGCTTACTCCAGCCATTTGGGAAGGACGTCAGGGGAAGACTGCAAGACTGGGAGCGTAATAAAAGTAGGACGCACGAGAAAGCTGACACACGCCTCCTCTTTCAAGACCTGGATGTAAACGAGAAAAGGTTAATAACGTTATCGCATGGCAGTTGCCCAAGCTGCTGGCAGCTGTTGACAAAGCTTGGCTCCGCCAGCAAATTCAAGGCGTCGACGTTTTGGGTGCGTGGCACCTTTCTGAGAGCTCAGGAAGCGCAGAGTCAAGTTGCGTTTCTCAAACCAGCACCCAAATTTAACTCCTTGCCCACACAGACGCCAGCCCACGGGTCTGGTTTCTCTTTGGGTAAATTGTTTTGCCAAGGTGAAACAAAGATACAGGCACCGAGGCCTCTTACAAAGTCCTCATAAATATCAGCTACCTACATCATCCGTCGGCAATTAGGAGAGGAAATGCTTTGTATTTCTGGATGTGACTACACGAGTGTGGGGCAGGAGAGGGAAGAAAATCCAGGGATGGACAGCAGACAACTGCGCAGCCTGGGTTCTTTCTTCTACATTTCTAATGCAAAGAATGGTAATTTAGAGACAGAGAAGGAGGGGAAGGTGGAAGATAAAGTCTGTGATTTACTCTGATTTCTGTCCTAGGTGATAAAATGGGAGAAACGGAGGAGAATGTGGAAGATTTTAGGGCAGTCACTGACATTTATGTTCATATTCTGAGTGTGATACGCTCACATTTGGCTCCTGTCTCCTGCAGTTTGGTTGCTGTGGCTTCTCTCCCACTCTGTGACCCTGGGTAAGTGATAATTTGTCGATGAGATGCCATTGCTGTGTCGGGCTCCCGAGCAGAGGGAAGGGATTTGCTTGGAGCCATGTCCCCGAAGCAGGCGAGCTGATGTGACGGGGACCGACCTGAGACACCAGCAACGCTGTCGATGGTTTCATCAGCACGATCAAGCCTGGTACGTGGCTGTTTCCCGCAGGTTCTGCTGCTGCCTCCATGTGGGCACAGTTGTTTTGGAAGGTTTAAAATAAAGATTTTAAGGAATGCGTCTTACCCTAGCTCCTACCCTGAGAGAGGAGAGATCTGGGGTAGACAGCGGAGAAGCGGTAGAGAAGGGTTGCGCTCTCTGGGGTGAATCAAGTGGGAATCAAGCGATTCGGGCTGTAATTTCAGCCTTGCACTGATTGCTTTTTGTAATCTTTGGCAAATCACTTCACCTTTCCGTGCTTCTGTTTCTGCTCTCTTACCTACTTGTAAATTTGGCAGAGCAGCCATCGACAGGACAACCCAGCAAAGCCGGAGAGCTCAAACCATAACACGACTAACGAAGAAATGCCAGTCCTTACGGAGAGGCCAGGAGGCCCGGCTCGCCGCTCCGCGGTGCCCGTGTGACGTGCTATTTCTAGGAGGTGACATCATCAATGACATAATTGCCAAGGAACTCGCTGTGGTTCCGGTGTGGGACCCAGGGAAAATAGTTCCACCACATTTTTGGTACACACCTTGCCCCACTTCTCCCTGCCCAGTGCTCGCTCCAGTCCGCTCCAGTGCACCCCAAAGCTCTCTTTGCCACAGCAGCTCCCCCAAACTCATTCTCGCCCAGCTCCTGCACCCCACCTCGTCCCAGCCTGTCCCTTCCCTCCACACTGCACCCCCTCCCCAGCTCCCCACAACCACCCGCTCCCCAGCCCTTCCTCCCCCCAAAACACCCCCTGTCCACAGTTCACCCTCCCAGCACCTCCCACACCAGTTTCACAGGCACCTCCAGCGTCCCCAACCCCCCTGTCAGCACCCCAGTCTCTTCTCACCAGTGCCACCACTATCCCCTCCCTACACACACACCAGTGCTCCCAGTACCCCGCCAAACACCAGCTCTCAGTCCCTCTTCATCTTCCTTCTCACGTGTACATACCCCAGTGACCCCAGTACCCCCCTCCCACACCCCAGTTCCCCCAAATACCCCTGCCCAAACACACCACTGCCCCCAGTACCACCTCTGTGCAAACCAGTGCTCCCAGTATCCCCCTCCCCACGCACCAGTGCCCCAAATACCACCTGCCCACACACCCCAGTGCCCCAGTACCTCCTAACCAATGCCCCCAGTATCCCACCTCCCCCTGTGCTGCCATTAGCCCTCTGCACATACCAGTGCTCCCAATATCCCCCTCCCCACATACACCAGTACATCCACTGCCCCTTGCCCCCCACACCAGCACCTCCAGTACTCCCTCCCCACATGCACCAATGCCTCCAGCACCCCCTGCCTGCACACACCAGTACCTCCACTGCCTCCCTACCAGTGCCCCCAGTAACCACTCTGCCCCCACACCAGTGCCCCCAGTACCCCCTCCCCCACACACCAGTGCCCCAGTACCTCCTCCCCACATACACCAGTGCACCCAGTACCCGCTC